ATATATATATATAATGATGCAGCGAAATCGTCCTGAACATAAATCGTGCAGTATTGCCATATGGTCTTTTCTCTTGATATATATATTAAAAAAGTATATGAATGAACTGACAAAAGACTACCGGATACGCATGCCTGACGAGCGGGAAGTACCGCGAAACCGGTTGTGTGCTTCCAGGGAAATTTCGTTCAGCCATTTATGTACTGCTTATTATGATATATATATTTATCGAACTTACCTTCTGAAAATCTGATCATTAGCAGATGATCAGGTATACCAAAACAAGGCGTCTGCCTTTATTGTGGGAAACAGGTTTGTATCTTTGTTCCCTCCGGTATGTTGACCGAAATTGAACGCAGAATCTTGCTCCTACTCATTGTTACAATTACTTCCGTATGCTTGGCTAACCGTCTATATTCCCTTCTGCTTCGTGGAAATACAGTGTACTGTTCATGCTTTCAAAATGGAACATCTGCTTTTCCTGAGTTGAAAACACCGTGATTCGCTTGTGCTTTTATGCATGTTTATATTTCGTTCTTATCACACCCAAATCGGGTTTCTTCTCAGGTCGTAATGAGAGGATTACTCCTGCTTAAGATTATCGGTGTTGGAATTCGCAAAAACATGGACTCTCTTCATAGACTGTTCTCAGTTCATGTATTCTGATTTCTTTGCAACCTTACTCCGCTGAAATTCTCATTTTTCTCTTCAACTCTACTTGCAACACTCCGGGCTTTCTCCTGCTCTCTCATCCAAGTGGAAGCAAAAGTACGGCAACCAAAGCCGACGCACGAATGGTTGGTGGTCGTACAAACTGAAAAATGAAACTCCTCGTTACTCTACGTTCATGCGGGCATTGCACTGGCCTGCACTCTTTGTAATTGCTGTGACACGGAAGACTGAATTTTTTGTTAAAGGGCTAACACTGCAAAGCAGTAGTATCTGTTGCTTTAGGTAACTTATTCTAAGCTCCAAACTCCAGCGGTATACCAAAGAGGAGATATGTTCATTCCACTTATGGAGTGGCCTCAACTTGGAGCGTATCAGTAATTCGAAGATAATCAGCGACCCTGCTGTTAGCATCCAAAATTTGTTATTGTGCTTCATCCGGATGAGTAGATACTGTAAAATCCTAACGGAAGGAGGGCCGATACTTTGTCACAAGGTTTATGTTTGTCTGTCCAATTTCCTGTGCCAGTTATTCCGTCAAATGCGAATGTAGATAATACGCATTGGTCATTGCTAGTCAACATTACCTCGTTACATTTCCCCCCGTCTTTCTTTTTAGCTGTCACTGATTTTCTCCATGTATCATGTCTAAAAATGTGAAGAAATCAAAAGGAGTAACTGGGCCCCCGAAGTCTTCTGGCTTGTTCACTGAAGAGGATAAAGGCCCCCATGTCGTGGTGGTCGCCGACTTGCACGCGCGTCGTTTTGATCCACTCACTCGGACAACACCCTATTGTCTCCTTCCGTTGGCTGGTGTCCCATTGCTGCACTACTGTCTTGCGCGTTTACTCGCAGACGGATTCCGAAATATCATCATTTGTGCGTGCACTCACACTGCACAAGTACAACAATTTGTGCTGTCGTATCAAAAAGATATCATCCAAAAAGACACCCGAATCTCAGTACACAATGGTGAAAATTGTAAAAGTCTGGGTGATGTGATGCGTGATCTGGACGCATCTCAGACACTTCGTGGAATCGCCGATTTTCTACTCGTTCCAGCCGATTTGATATGTGCCACGTCTCTACTCCCGTTTGTCAAACAACACGAGGCTCGACGTGCACGAAATCCTGCAGCCATTCTCAGCTTGGTCATGCCACATGTTTCCAAGCTGCTCACACCGGTGCAAGCGGCAGAACACACAGTGTCAGTGCTACTTTCGCCTTCTGTCGATAATAGGATAATCAAGTTGTTCCCTGCTTGCTTGAATCCGGCCCCAAATGTTTTTCTCCAGGAGCTAATCCGAACAGACACGGTCGTCGAATTGTCCTCAAACCTGTTTGATTTGGGAGTTGCTGTCTGCAGCAATCATGTCGCACCATTGTTCCAGGTTTGTCTTACCCGTCACTTCGGGCCATCCACTGAACTTGTTTTATTTACACCAGGGAATTAACTGAGTATGTAGTAAATAAAAAACTCAATCATTGACTGTGTGAGCTAAATAAGTAGATTAAATATAAATTTCTTACATATCCCGTCTGTCCATACTAGACACTCTTGCCCAAATTGTTCACTCTGTTGCGTCCGTCTTGGACAAAGGTGCAGGTACCACTCGTTTGACTTTTAATTATGGCAACGCCTTTGGTTCTCTGGACCGAAAGGCACTTATTGAACATCTGAAATCTTGAATGTTTTAGTCGATTACCTTCCAAGTCAAGTCAAGAGTGCACACGATTCGTCCTATGTAGACAGAATTTTCAGTGGAAAAGTGTTATCACTTTTACTTCTCCCGTAGGAGCCAGTTTACTTCATTTAACGACACAATCGTCTTCCATTAACATCGATTCTAATGTTATTCAGGGTACACGTACAGACTCTCCCCATTGCCAGGTATGCTGATAATATTGGGATTGATTGCCCATTTGTTAGTCTAGATAGCTTTCGGTTTTAATGAACTTCAGGACTGGTCTGTGCCCCAATCTCGTGTAATTAGCATCAATAAGTGCAGTACTATTCCTTTCAGTCTTAAAGTTGGCCCCGGTTATCTTTCTGACCTTATAGTTAATCACTAATGCATCCGAAAATGAGATTATACTAAATACTTCGATTTCACCCTGATTCATAACCTGTCCTGACCTGCTTATATCACCGGTATTTTTGCAGAAGTTCAAAGACTGTCCTTTTATGCGTACAGTCTCAGGA